ATGTGGCTTAGTGGTAGACTGCTTGCCTAGCATATATAAAGCCCTGGGTTCCATTCCTCAGTACCACACACAGAAAAAATTGGAAGTGATGCTGTGGTTCAAGTGGCAGAGTGCTAGCCTTGAGAAAAAGAAGCTCAGGGACAGTTCCCAGGCCAAGTTTAAGCCCCAGGACTGGCTATTATTCTTATTCTTATTGCTTAAATTACTGTGTGAGAGTGTAAGTTCATTTATATCCTAAATGTCTCTTTGGTTCAATAAGAAAATTTAAAACCATGGGTGATGCTGATAGCTCATGCCTGTTCAGGAGGCTGAAATCCGAGGATCATGGTTCAAAGCCAACTTGAGCAAAAATAAAAAAGTGTATGAAACTCTTACCTCCAATTAACTAGCAAAAAAAGCTGAAAATTGGAGGTATGTCCCAAGTGGGAGAGCACTAATCTTAAGCAAAAAAGCTTGAAGCAGTGCTTAAGCCCTGAGTTCAAGCCTTAATACCAGCACCAAAAAAAAAAAATTCAAGTCAACCAGAAAGGCTAAGGAACACATGAGGAAATACAACTGTCCTGAGAAATGAATCTAGTATTAGCAAGAAATAAAGGAAATAAAAATACCCACTGCTGCTTATGGGGTAGTTAGGATAAGACCATTTTCTTGATCCCTGAGGAAAAGAAGAGTTGGGATTTGAGCTCAGTACACCACTGTGGGATAAAGTCTGAGAATACCAATCAATAACCCATTTTTGGTACATCCTAGGTACACATAGTAAAAATCCCCACTCTCAGCTTATAGGAGGATGCAGAATTAATGGGATGACAACTTAGAGCAACATAGTAACAAAAAACTCAGGATTGTTCCCTGCCAGAAACCAAGTAAATACAGGATATTCAGGGGATACACACCATGAAATATCACATTATGGGCTGGGAAGGTGGCTCAGTGGTAGAGTGCTTGCCTTGCATGCATGAGGCCCTCGGTTCGATTCCTCAGCACCACATAAGCAAAAAGAAAAAAGCCGGAAGTGGTGCTGTGGCTCAAGTGGTAGAGCGCTAGCCTTGAGTTGAAGAACTGAGGGACAGCGCCCAGGCCCAGAGTTCAGGCCCCACCACCGGACCCAAAAACAAACAAACAAACAAACAAAAAAGAAATATCACATTATGTATAATATAGAAGCTGATTAGATATACAATACATTCCTGGTGGATCATAAAAGTCTTGTGTCAGGGTATAGGAAGGTGGCTCAGTGGTAGAACACTTGCCTTGCATGCTTGAGGCCTTGGATTCGATTCCTCAGCACCACATAAACAGGAAAAAAAAAAGCTGGAAGTGGCGCTGTGACTCAAGTGGTAGAGTGCTAGGCTTGAGCTGAAGAGCTGAGGGACAGCGCCCAGGCCCAGAGTTCAGGCCCCATGACCAGACCCCCCCCCCCAAAAAAAAAAAGTCTTGTGTCAGCTGGATGCTGGTGGCTCAGGCCTGTAATCCTAGCTACTCAGGGAACTGAGATCTGAGACCTGTGGTTCAAAGCCAACTTGGGCAGGAAAGTCCATGAGACTCTTATATTCAATAAATGACTCAGAAAAGGCTGGAAGTGGTGATGTGGCTCAAGTATAGAGCTCTAGCCTTGAGCAAAAGCAGCTCAGGGACAGTGTCCCGGTCCTGAGTTCAAACCATGCTTCCAGGTGCTGGTGGCTTGTGTCTATAATCCTAGCTACTTAGGAGGCTCAGATCTATGGATCAAGGTTCAAAATCAGCCCAGACAGACAAATCTAAGAGGTTCTTATTTCCAATTAACCAGCAAAAAGCCAGAAGTGAAGGTATGGTTCACACAGTAGAGCATCAGCCTTGAGCAAAAAAAAAAAAAAAAAGTCAAGCAAATGGGGCACTGGTGGCTCACGCCTGTAATACTAGCTCTTCAGGAAGCTGAGATCTGAGGATCACAGTTCAGAGCCAGCCCAGGCAGGAAAGTCTGTGAGACTCTTATCTCCAAAAAACTACTCACAAAAAAGCAGGAATTGGTGCTGTGGCTCAATTGATAGAGTGCTAGCCTTGAGTACAAAGAGGCTCAGGGACAGAGCCCTGTCCCTGAGTTCAAGCCCCAGGACTGACAAAAAAAAAAAATTAAGCAAGAGAGGCAAGTGAATTCAAGCCACAGTACTGGCATCTGTATCAATATCTATAAATGTATATACATCACATATTTGATATAGAAAATATTGTTTAATTATTTATTATTCTATATAAGTATAGAATATATTATTGTGTAATATACTCGATTAGACTATATAGTATAGAAAATATAATCATATAATATTCTAATGATATATTATGTACATTTATTAATAGATTATATATATATATATATAAATGTGTCAGGCAAATGTTCAAGTATACACAGTGTGGCCCCACTCTTCTCCCCCCGCACCCCAAGATCAAGTTCAATCTCTTCAACTGATCATTCAAGCCTCCCTCTGTGTAATGAAACCCAAACCACCTTTCCAACGTTATCTCCAACAGCTCCCTGGCACCACAGGCCAGTTAGAGGTCACTTCTTCCATCCTTTCATCTTGGTACGCCACAGTTACACAGGCTATGTAACCTAGAAATCGGCAGCAAGCAAACAGGCTAAAGGCTGCGGGGAAAAATCGGACATGGGCAGGGGGAAACCAAGGCGGCCGAGAGCGCAGGCCAGACAGGAGCGTCTGCGCATGCGCAGAGGGGCCCCGGTCAACGCCTGTGATCCTTCAGAGCCCACTTTGCCGTTCCCAAGGGGAGGAGGGGGAAAAGGGGCGGGTCCCGCTTGTGCGTCAGAGATGGTACTCGACGCCCCATTGGCTATCCCACCCGCAATGGGAAGAACAGTCTAGAAAGGTGCTGGGAGGGGCCAGAGGCCCGAGGCTCAATTCGACGCGCTATTGGCTGGCCTAGTAGTTAGGCGCTTAGGAAGGGAAGGAGAGGAGGGGGGGAGGAGGAAGTGGGAGGAGCTTCGGGCAGGATCTACAACCACATTGGTGTAGCAGGAGATAGCGTGTTGGAAGCTCATTGGTCATTGCGGGAAGGGGCGGGAAAAAGTGGCGCGAGGCACGGCAGTTCCTCTCTTGGCTGCTTTCTCGTTCCTTCTCTTGGCCTCATCCGGGGCAAGTCTGGCTCTTCTCGAAGCTGTGGTAACCGTAGGGCTGGTGTCCAGGAGCGGACACGACCCCTCCACTCCCTGGGCCTTCTTCCCCCTCTTCCTAACACTGAACCCCCTTCCCCAGGCGCCCTCCTTTGCCCTCCCCCTCCCCCCTCGCGCTGCTCGCGACCCCCATCTCTCCCTTCCCCCCTCCCCCGCAGGACCTCTGGGTGCGGGCCTCGTGGCCTGCCCCCTTTCCTGGGACCCTGGAGCCGGATGGGGGGGGGTGTGGCACGGATCCAGTGTTGGGGGGGGATGGGGGCTGCTGGAATGGGGGTGTACCTGAGTAATAACTGTATGAAAAAGAAGGGATGCGTGAGGTTTATTGTTAGCGCGTGGGATTCAGGAGCAGCCGTGATTTCTTGTGTTTGTGCGAGAATGCCTGTGGCCATCTTGTGGGGTCCAACGGAGAAACTGGCATCCAGAGAAGAGCACTATTGGCCTAGATTGGGGCTCAGCATGCAGCAGGGATCCAGAGAATGATGGAAAGAATGAAGGAATGATTGAGCCGAGCTAGTAAAAATGGGGCAGGCAGGTCCCTCACAATGATGTCGTTACTAGGAAGGGACGGTATGAGAACAAAACCAAACGGAAGCAGCACACCACAGATTTAAGGCATGGTTTATGCGAGATTAAAATTTTCAAGGGACAAAAATATTTTTAGGCCAGTGGCTGGTGGCTCATGCCTATAATCCTAACTATTCAGGAGGCTGAGATCTGAGGATGGCAGTTCAAAGCCAGTCCCAGCAGGAAAGTCCCTGAGACTTTATATCCAGTGAGCCATCAGAAAGCTGGAAGTGGCTTTTTGGCTCAAAGTGGTATAGTGCTAACTTTGAGTAAAAAGAGGTCAGGAACAGTGCCCAGGCCCTGAGTTCAAGCCCCACGAGCAAAATAAAATTAATTAAATAAATAAATCAGAAGTGGGTGTGGTGGCTGGCCTGTAGTCATAGCTACTCAGGAGGTGAGCAGGAGAATGGAGAGTTTGAAGGGGAGGGGGAGTAGCCAAATTGGTAGAGAGCTTGGGAGAGGCCCTGGGTTCAATCCCCAGTGACCCAGTGTGTGTATTTGTGTACATATATATAAATACTATATATACACACAGGTACTATAAAACACTATATATAAGCACTACATATACACATATATGTACACAGGATATATACACAAGGAATTGCATAAATTCATAGATGGGAGTGGGGATTACCTCAGTGGTAAAGTACTTGCCTAACACCTGCAAGGGTTCAATTCCCTAGTACTTGGGGGGGGGGGGGGCGGAATCCAGCAGAAAGGGATGTTGAATGAAAGCTTTTGAGGGGGCTGGGAGAGCCATGCCTATGCCTGAAACTGAGATTCATCATGGGAAAGTGGGCAGGTAAGCTAAAGAAAAGAAGCTGGGCACTGGCGGCTCATGCCTGTAATCCTAGCTACTCAGGAGGCTGAGCTATAAGGATTTCAGTTTGAAGCTAGACCAGACAGAAAAGTCTGTGAGACTCATAGCTCCAATTAAGCACCCAAAACGCCAGAAGTAGAGCTGTAGCTCAAGAGGCAGAGCCTGGAGGAATAAAAGCTAAGGGGTAGTGCCCAGGCCTTGATCGAGCCCTAGTACTGGCATTCATGTGCACACTCACGTATGCGTACACACAAATCTAAGGAAGGAAAGGGATGTAGGGATTTCTTAGGAAGGAGGATCCATGGGAAAGGTGAGAGGGTGAAGAGGGGAGAAACCAGGGTGAAGGCTAGGGCATATGACAGAGAGCCGCACATGCCTCCCTGAGCAGGAGGGGGTGGTTAGGGGAGGGCCCACACGGCCATCCTAACCTGCTACCTCTGCCCTTAGATCCATGGATCCAAAGGAAACACCTGATGCCCACCACTCCCCTGCTGACTCTGCTCCAAGGGGTGAGACCAGAGCTCCCCAGGGCATGGAGCTTATCCCCAGGAGAGCTGTGAGTCGCTCTCCGACATGTGCCCGCTGCCGAAACCATGGTGTCACTGCCCACCTCAAGGGCCACAAGCGACTCTGCCTCTTTCAGACTTGCGAGTGTCACAAATGTGTCCTCATTCTGTGAGTGGAAGGTCCAGGGAGAAGGGGCGGATGAGCCTCTGGAAAAATGGCTGACTGCCTGCTCGTCTTCTCCTCCTTTTAGGGAGCGCCGGAGAGTCATGGCTGCTCAGGTGGCATTGCGTAGGCAGCAGGAGGCGCAGCTAAAGAGGCACCTGGCTCAGGGACTAGTGAGAGGGGCAGCTCCTTTTAAAGCACTGAGCCGAGTCAAGAAAGGAGCTGCTGGACCAGTAGTCCCCCGTGAGTGTCTCTGGCTGGAATTTGAATGAGGGAAGATTCTCAATCCTGCCATCAAATTGGTCTGTGACCTTGGGCTACATGTTCCGCCCTTAGGTCCTCCAGCTCCCCAACTATAAAATGTGATTGAATGTTAGGAGGATGCAGTGAGATGAGAGGTAGAAAATGATCAGCAGAGCCAGGTGTGGTAGTGCACGCCTGTAATCCCAGCTGCTCAAGAGCTTGGCAGTCTGAGGCCCGACCCCAGGCAAAAAGGGCTAAGACCCAATCTGAAAAATAAAAGCAAAAAGGGTAAAGGGGGTATGGTTCAAGTGGTAAAGCACCTGTCTAGCAGGCCCAAGATCTTGAATCCCAAACTCTGTACCAAGAAGGGAGAGAAGAAAGGAGGGATGCAGGATGGGGAGGGGAGGGAGGGAAGGAAAGAGAGAGAAGGTGGGAAGGGAGGGAGGGAGAAGGAAGAAAGGAAGGAGCCACATGAAATAAGACCTGTGTGTTGGGGTTAGTGTAGGCTCACTAAATCTCTCTGGTTGTTTACAGCTGGAAAGGAGAACATAGCCCCTCAGCCTCAGGGTTCCCATGGGGCAGTCCCACTGGCACTGACACCCCCTGGGAAGGTAAGAACCTGGCCTTCAGGAAGAGGTTCCCAGCCTAGCTCCTGTGCAGACCCCTTCTCGGTGCCCTTCGCATCTGGGTTCTACTCCCAACCTTGGCATGCTACCAACTTGCGAGCAGGTCACTTCTTTTCTGTGGGCAAATTAAAGAGGGTGGAACATTAAGGCCCAGCCCAGACATTTCCCCTTCTCAGAACATAGCCACTCCTCCTCTAACCTTATACCTAACTCTAATCTGTGCCATCTGCCCTTCCAGGAGAACTGTGGGCCCCTGCTACTCAGCTGTCCCCCAGAAACCTTGCCTTTGCCCTGGACTCCAGTGCCTCCAGGCCCTTGGGGCCCTGGACACTGGCTGCCCCCAGGCCTTTCCATGCCACCCCCAGTGGTGTGTCGTTTGCTGTGTCAGGAACCTGCTGTCCCTCTGCATCCCTTCGCTGGTAAGAAGAGAATTCAGCCTTCATTCAGCAGAAAGGGAAGTGGGAAAGGTCGCAGGTGAGAAGAGGGAGGAGAGAACGGTCACCTCTGAGACCTGAACATCTCGTTTCTCTTCCCCGCCTTAGGCTTTGACCCTGGCACTTCCCTCCGCCTGCCTGCACACGGGCCCCTCCCGCCTTGCCCAGGATCTCGATCGGTACTGACCACTCCTCTTTCTGGAGAGCCTCAAGGACCCCCTAACCTGCCCCACACGTGAGTAGGGACACAAGGATACATATTTATTCTGAGCCTACTTCTATGCTAGACACTGTAGTGAATGATAAAGATCTCAGATTAATAGGTCTGCCATTACTTACCTGGGAACTTTTGCACATGTCTGTACCTTTCTCAGCCTGGTTTTCCATATATAAATGGGAGATGTCATTACATTCAGGTTATAATTGTCATTCAGTTTTTCATAACAGTAATGTTTGGGACACACCTAGCATGGACCCTGACCTTGATGAAATACTGGCTATCAGATCTTAAGCAGATAAGATGGAGTAGGATTATGTGCTGAAACTGAGCACTAGGAAAGCCACAGAGGGCCAAGAAAAGGCCAGGAGCCATTAGAGAAAGCTTCTGGAAGTTGGAGCAAAGCTAATCTTCAAGTTCCAAAGGGATTAGAGAACCAGGGGAAGGAAAACTAGGTAAGACAGGGACAGAAACCCCAGTCCCTTTAGGCATTTTGTTCATTTTTAAAAACTGACACCAGTGATTTCCTGTAATCCTCACAGTATCTTTGGAGGGAAAAGCTGATAGAGATGTTCATTTTCTAGAAAACAAAGTAAGCCAACCCAGGGGACAAGACTTAACCAAGCCCACGAAGTCTCCGAATCCTAGCCCAGAATGTCTGACCCTCTTTCCACGTGTACATGTCTGTTTACCCTCCTTGGCATCTCTCCCTCCTTTTAGATGCTCCACACTGATACTCCAGTCATGTGGTACCCCGGACACTCTCCTGCTGCAGCCACAGGTCCTGGGGAAGAAGTGGTATCCTGACCCAGGGAGGAAGTGGAGATTGGGGAGGGGAAAAGTAGGAGATGAAAGGCACCAGGGGCAGAGGGAACAGTGGAAGGGCGAGAAGAAGCAAGGGTTTCCAGTCCTCTTCTCTCCATCTCCTTTGCAGGCCCCTGGAGCCTCTCGCCTGGCCTGGACATCTGCTTCCTCAGAGCGGCAGCTTCAGCGAGAGGCAGCTGAGGCCCTTGTGGGTCTGAAAGATTCATCCCAGGCTTCCCGCCTGACCCCTTCTGTCCCCCCCAATCCTGCCTGGATCTCCCTCCTCCACCCCTGTGGCCCACCAGGTAATCTTCTCTCTGAAAGGAGAGGACAGGATAAGGATGGTTGGGAGAAGGAAGTCACTAGGATAAACAGAGACTAACCAAGATGAGGGGGTCAACAAGTTGAATGTCCTCTGAGCCAGGCCCCCAAGTTCCTCAGCCTGGCCTCTGAAATTACAGTTGAAGTTGTTTAGTATATCACTTTTGCCAGTTTTGTTCTCAACAACGAATGTTAAAGCCAAGGAAAATGAGGTCTTGGTCTCTAACTCCAGTCCAAGCCTCCATCTCCAGACCCTAGCTGTCTGCTGAAGTCTGGAGAGGGAGTGAGAAAGTAATAAACAGGATCTGGCCTCGGTAAAGGTGATAATTGCTTCTCGGAAGTTCCCACTCTAGTAGGGAAACTTGGACAGTTTCAGGAGGCTCAGTGGCAAGAACCTGAGGAGTTTTCAGGAGTAATATGTGGGGACAGAAAAGGCTGAGAACCCTAATATCCAATCACGGATTGGGAACTGTTGGAACAGGAAAAGAGGCTGAAGAGGCTCTGCTTGTGGGGCTCTGGGTTGCCAGGCTTAGGAGTCTAGAGCAGCAGCCTGCACAAGTGGATCTGTGGGAAAAGATAGGGATACATTAGGCTCCCTGTGCTCTACAAAGACAAGTGTGTTGGCTGCAATGGAGGGAGGGGCTGAAGAAAGCAAGAGGGGAGGTAGGAAAATTAGCAAAGAGGAATGAAGCAGGTGGAGGAGGATGAGGCCTGATTATTGCATGGGGTAAAGAGAGGGAACTACAGGGAGGGGGATGGATGTGACGTGGTCCTGCCCCTTCCTTCCTGACTATAGCTCCCGCTGGAGGAAGAGGATTCCAGCCTGTTGGCCCCTCTCTCCGACCCACCCCAGCTCCCTCCGTCTCTCTGCATATTGGGCGTCTGGGGTCCATCTCCCTCCTGAGCTAGAACACGGAGGTAGAGGCTGCCTCACCAAGGCAGGGCGAGGGATAGCCTGTAGGCACTGCATATTCGCTATTTTACTTAATGGATTTTTACATGGAGTTGAATATAGTACAAACCTCAGGATTCTTTTTTAAGCTTTCAGGTGCTTCAGTTAGCTTTTGGTTCCTTTTGTAGTGTGGGCATTTCCTTGGCTGATAGCGGATATTCACATACTCCTCATTGAGTTCTGGGACTTTTTTAGGTCCCTAAAAAAGGAGAAGGCTGTACAGTTAGAACTGACCAGAATCTAAGTACATTTTTTGCAAGCGTTCATGTTTGGTGTATACCTGTGCACTCATGTTGGTCTCTGTGCAAGTGAAAACAGGAGAGTATTTTCATTTTGTTTTTAGATTTGTGTAAGTAAGAAATAAACCTTTGCCAACTGAAGCCATTAAGACTTGGGGGTTATTTATTACCACAGCCTAACCTAATCAATCTGTCCTGACAACCAAAAAAGACTTGTTTGACTCACTTCTCCAAGTTAAAATCACCTATTCAAGAACAGCCACTAGCTGGTTGCTGGTGGCTCACACCTATGATCCTAGATACTCAGGAGGATGAGCTCTGAGGATTAAAGTTCAAAGCCAGCCCAAGCAGGAAAGTCCATGACTCTTACCTTCCATTAACTGCCAAAAAGCCAGAAGTGGAGCTGTAGCTCAAGTGGTAGAACACTAACCTTGAGCAAAAGAAGCTCAGGGACAGTGTCCAGGCCTTAAGTTCATGCCCTAGGACAGTACACACACAAAAAGAACAACCACAAATAATTACAAGCTTGGAATTTTTTTTTCTCCATTTGTGGGGCTTGAACTCTGGGCCTCGGCACTGTCCCTCAGCTCTTCAGCTCAAGCTAGTGCTCTACCACTTGAGCCACAGCGCCACTTTTATTTTTTCTGGTGATTTACTGGAGATAAGAGTCTCATGGAAGGCTGGGAAGGTGGCTCAGTGGTAGAGCACTTGCCTTGCATGCTCGAGGCCCTGGGTTCGATTTCTCAGCACCACATAAGCAAAAAGAGAAAAGCCGGAAGTGGCGCTGTGGCTCAAGTGGTAGAGCGCTAGCCTTGAGCTGAAGAGCTGAGGGACAGCGCCCAGGCCCAGAGTTCAGGCCCCATGACTGGACCCAAAAAAAAAAAAGTCTCATGGACTTTCCTCCCCGGGCTGGCTTTGAACCGAGATCCTCAGATCTCAGCCTCCTGAGTAGTTAGTATTACAGGCGTGAGCCACTGGCACCTGGCTCTTGTATTTCTTTTTTCTTTCTTCCTCTCTCTCTCTCTTTTTCTTTCTTTCTTCCTTCCTTCCTTCCTTTCTTTCTTTTTGCCAGTTGTGGAGAATAAGAATATTAGAGATGGTGGAGGGTTCACTAATTCACTGATGCCATAACTTAAGTGCCTGCTCTGTGCCAGTCATAGTTTCCTGCTCACCAGAGACCCACAAATACAGGGCCAAACAGATTATATAAATGAGTAAAGAAGGCCAGATGGTGGCTAGCAAACTGAAAGTGTACGCCCTACCTAAGGGGCAGCTTCCTCTTGCCCTAGTGGATGGGTCCAAGCAGAAACAATTAGGTAAGAGTTACATCTTGGATTTTATTTTAACTCAAGGACTGAGCACTGTCCCTGAACTTCTTTTGCTCAAGGATAGCACTCTACCACTTGAGCCACAGCACCACTTCTGGCTTTTTCTGTGTATGTGGTACTGAAGAATCGAACCCAGGGCTTCATGCATGTTAGGCAAACATTCTACCACTAAGCTACCTTTCCAGCCCGCTTCTTTGGATTTTTTGAGGGAAAAAAAAAAAAAGCAGGTGTTAGAGGCATTGCTCAGGTGGTAAGAGCATCAGCCAATGAGAGAAAGCATCAGATACTGAGTTCAAGTCCTCATCTTGCTCCCCAAAAGAAAAAGCAATCCATAGAAACAAAGTTTCTATGTTCAATATCTTAATTTTCAAACATTGGCACAGTTTTTTTTTTTTTTTTCCGGCCAGTCCTGGGGCTTGAACTCTAGACCTGAGCGAGTGCTGTCCCTGGACTCCTTTTGCTCAAGTCTAGAGCACTCTACAACTTTAAGCCACAGCACCACTTTCAGCTTTTTCTGTGATTAATTGGAGATAAGCGTCTCACTGATTTTCCTGTCCAGGCTGGCTTCCAACCACAATCCTCAGATCTCAGCCTCCTGAGCAGCTAGGATTAGAGGCTTGAGCCACCAGCACTCCGCTGCCGTTTTCTTTTTTAAATCTCGTCCTGGGGCTTGAACTCTGGGCCTGGGCACTATCTCTCAGCTCTTCAGCATAACGTGAGTGCTCTACTTAGCACTTGAGCCACAGCGCCACTTCTGGTTTTCTGAGTGGGGTGGATTTGAACCGAGATCCTCAGATCTCAGCCTCCTGAGTAGCTAGGATTATAGGCATGAGACACCGGCGCCCGGCTTTTTCAAATCTTATGTGGACCAAAAGCGTCATATATTCGAATCAGCTTTGGCTAAATGGAATGCCAGTATGATGCTGATCTAACATGACATTTTTCCAGATGCATAATTTCAAAGCCATGCAGGACAGAAGGAGGAGCCAAGTTAATCTTGCCATTCTGGGGTTTGAACTGAGGGTCTTGCACTTCCTAGGGTGGTGCTGTACCACAGGTTTGGAAGAACCCGTGAAAGGTTAGAAGTGATCATTACACTGCTCTCACTTCACAGATACCTCACCACAGACCTCCCTGCAAGGAATGCATTACAGAGAAACAGGCGTAAAGAGGTAAATTGGCTTGTCTGAAATTTCAGGAAAGTCGTCTACAAGACAAGGGAGAATTTCCCTTTACCTTACTGGGCCTCAAATGAACAGATGATAGTTTTCATAAAGCAGAGAATGAACAATTTGGGACTCCAGAGGACCAGCACAAGTCAGAAGGATTTTCTGAGTCTTTTTCTACTCAAGCTATCATTACATAATAAGATTTTACCTGCACTGGTTTCTTAGTCCTCCTTTAACCATTCTGAATATATGAAGACCTGTTGAGCTATTCCAAAGTCCCATCAATTCCCACCTTTAAATAGACAAAAAACTCAGAGGACATGCTGGATTATGGACCCTTTTTTCCTGATATTATCTATACACCTCTTTTTCAAGATGAATAACAGCGATAGTATCCAATTAGAACTTGTTCTCTTATTTGGAGCAGGTGAGTGGATTCTGCCCCCTAACCAATTCCAGAGTGACAAACCTACAACACTTCTCTGGAGGCATTGTAAGATATCAAAAGGTTTTAAGTCCACTTCATATCTTCCATCACTTCCTAGTTGTAACTTAGATATATGATTGTCCCTTAATAGACCTGCCTAAGCCTTACTGCGCCATGCTCTCTCCGTGACAGATGGCCAAGCCCACACAGTCACAGAGCAGTGAAGCATTGCAACATGCAACACAGTTCACACTGCTGCTTAGGGCCAACCCAGGGTCCTCTGTGTACCAAGGTCACGCTGCTGGGAAGGGTGTAATTTGGGGATACAGGATGGCCTGAAAAAAAGGAGGAAAGAGGGAAATGATAGAATTGGAACACAGGGCAGGTCTTCTCACTTCTCTGGAGTCTACCTCCTCTTCAGAGCTAGACTTGCCGAGGCTTTTCACCTCTTAATTAGATCAATTTATCTTTCAGCTCATTTGGACTTCACAGTGGGACCTGTGAGAGTAGGGCTGGCCTGCAGAGGTCAGGCTTGAAACAGGGCAGATAAAGAATTGCCCATGCTCCCACACTGCCATGTCTCAGGAAAGCCAGAAGGCTCCTGCTCTCTGACCAGCCCTCAAGAGATTTCAGCCCATGGACTTACCACTGTTTCCTCTGCCACCTCCACCCTGCCCACTTCCCATTGCAGAATACCGAGAGGTGTTGCCCTGGCCCAGCAGAGGAGTAAATCTTTCCTTCCTAAGCTTTCTTCCTGTACTTCTCTTGGCACTGCAAAAATAAGTTTCCAAATATAAAGCATCATCCTTGTTCCCCCCCCCCCATCTCTCTCTCTTCATAAGACTCCTCCCCACGCCACCCAGTTTTTATTTCTGGAGTACATTTCATATTCTGTCCTTTTTTAATTTTTTGTCATGGGGCTTGAACTCTGGGACTGGGCACTGTCCCTCAGCTCTTTTGCTCAAAGAAAGCACTCTACCACTTGAGCCACAGTGCCACTTCCAGTTTTCTGAGTGGTTTATTAGAGATAAGTGTCTCACGGACTTTCCTGCCCAGGCTGGCTTTGAACCACAATCCTCAGATTTCAGACTCCTGAGTAGCTAGGAATACAGGTGTGAGCCACTGGCGCCCAGCTTATTCTGTCCTTTTAGAATTCACATTCTCTTTACTTCAGCCATCCATGAATTTGGTCTATTCCTGATCACACTTCTAGTCCAAGACCAACTAAACCAAGCTATATTCACACACAGGTTTCTGGCTCAATCAAGCAAATTCTGCACCCCTGTCTCCTTGTTGGCTTTATAGTCCCTGGTACATGTTCACATACACATAGTTTTAAAATTCACACCCTGCATGGAGTTTCATACATTCCTGAGCTCTTCCCCAAAGCAAGATTCCTCCTTTTCCTCTGTATCAGTATCTCTGAGTAGCTAGAATTACAGGCATGATCTACACAGGGAAACCTGTTTGTTTGTTTTTTTTTTAATAGATATTAGCATTGTAATATGCTTATAAATGATTTCCTTTTTTTTTGGGGGGGGGGTCCGGTCGTGGGGCCTGAACTCTGGGTCTGGGTGCTGTCCCTCAGCTCTTCAGCTCAAGGCTAGTGCTCTACCACTTGAGCCACAGCGCCACTTCCAGCTTTTTTCTTTTTGCTTATGTGGTGCTGAGGAATCGAACCTAGAGCCTCTGGCATGCAAGGCAAGTGCTCTACCACTGGGCCATCTTCCCAGCCCGCTTATAAATTATTTCATATGTAGTAGTTCAATGTGGAAATATATTTAATGTTTTCAA